CTGAATCCGGTAATGAATGGTGTGGCTGTTGAACAAGTTGAGGAGACTCAATTACTTGGTATTACCTTAGATTGTAAACTATCATGGTCAAAACATATAGATTCAATGGTTGTAAAGATGGGGAGAGGTCTGTCCATAATAAATAGATGCTCTGCTTTTTTGACACCACACTCCAAAAAGCAAGTTCTGCAGGCTCTAGTTTTGTCTAATCTTGATTATTGTCTAGTCATGTGGTCCAGTGCTGCAAGGAAAGACTTAGTTAAGCTGCAGCTGGCCAAAAACAGAGCGGCATGGTCTGGCTCTTCATTATAATCATTGGGCTGATATAAATACTATGCATGCCAGTCTCTCTTGGCTAAGAGTTGAGGAGAGACTGAATGCATCACTTCTTATTTTTATAAGAAACATTCATGTGTTGAAAATCCCAAATTGTTTGCATAGTCAACTTACACACAGCTCTGACGCACACACTTACCCCACCAGACATCCCACCAGGGGTCTTTTCACAGTCCCCAAATCCAGAACAAATTCAAGAAAGCGTACAGTATTATATAGAGCCATTATTGCATGGAACTCCGTTCCATCTCATATTGCTCAAATAAACAGCAAACCTGGTTTCAAAAAACAGATAAAGCAACACCTCACGGCACAACGTCTCTCCCCTATTTGACTTAGATAGTTTGTGTGTATGTATTGATATGTAGGCTACGTGTGCCTTTAAAACAATTTTTTATGTTGTTCTGTCCTTGAGCTGTTCTTATCTATTAATGTTCTGTATTATGTCATGTTTCATGTTTTGTGTGGACCCCAGGAAGAGTAGCTGCTGCTTTTGCAACAGCTAATGGGGATCCTAATAAAATACTAAATACCAATAGGTTGCCATTTTGGACACAGAGTTTCTTACTTACCACAGGACAAGCATGCAGATCTCGATTTCTGTGTTCAAGGCTTGAAGGAAAGTTTTAAAAGATATGTCTAGTCAATCATATTCACACCCACCCAGGAACAAGAGTTGATGAAGGTATCTTCTTCCCGGGGAACTTTTGTTAAGAGGTCCAACACTTGTTCTAAAAGTTAACACACATCGCTTGCGGTACGGTTTTGGAAACACAAGGAACATATCTTTCATATCAGAGAGAAATCATTTTTTAAAAATTGAAAGGTTAAATTACTATACACCTTTATAGGGTTAGTGTTCCCACACTGCCATATCTCCATTTTACAGCGCTTGTTTACCGGAAGATAGACAGCACCACCTGTGCTAATTAGCTATCTAGAACATCTGTGTGTAAGCGTAACTGGGGAGGAAGTGTAGTTCCTCAACTGGAGGCACACACGGTGTATGGATCTGTGCAAATCTGCTATATTAAGCATATCTATTTTATTTGAAAGATTATTTCTCGCTGATATGAAAGATAAGGGCCATATGTTAAAAAAAATAACTTTAAAAAGTGATGATTACTGACGTTAAAACACAGCATCGGAATTGTAGTTCACACGGCCAGCCATGGGCGAAGCTAACTACCGAAAACCCTACAGAGAGAAGGGTTTTCGAGCGCTAGAGTTTAGGTAAACACATATACACAAGTTAGATCCTGTCCCTCGCGCCAAGCCAGCGGTGCGCGTCGCCAGCCCGGCCCGGCCTGTTCCTGACCCTCGCACCAAGCCAGTGGTGCACGTCGCCAGCCCGGCCCGGCCTGTTCCTGCCCCTCGCACCAAGCCAGTGGTGCGCGTCGCCAGCCCTGCCCGGCCTGTTCCTGCCCCTCGCACCAAGCTAGTGGTGCGCGTCGCCAGCCCGGCCCGGCCTGTTCCTGCCCCTCGCTCCAAGCCAGTGGTGCGCGTCGCCAGCCCGGCCCGGCCTGTTCCTGCCCCTCGCACCAAGCCAGTGGTGCGCGTCGCCAGCCCGGTCCGGCCTGTTCCTGCCCCTCGCACCAAGCTAGTGGTGCGCGTCGCCAGCCCGGCCCGGCCTGTTCCTGACCCTCGCACCAAGCCAGTGGTGCGCGTCGCCAGCCCGGTCCGGCCTGTTCCTGCCCCTCGCACCAAGCCAGTGGTGCGCGTCGCCAGCCCGGCCCGGCCTGTTCCTGCCCCTCGCACCAAGCCAGTGGTGCGCGTCGCACCAAGCCAGTGGTGCGCGTCGCCAGTCCAGCTCCGGTCAGCGGCTCCACTCCGGAGCCAGAGCAGTCCGCTCCACCGGTGCCTGATCCAGTTCCGGTCAGCTGCTCCACTCCGGAGCCATAGCAGTCCGCTCCACCGGGGTCCAGTCCAGATCCGGTCAGCGGCTCCACTCCGGAGCCAGAGCAGTCCGCTCCACCGGTGCCCGGTCCAGCTCCGGTCAGCGGCTCCAGTCCAGACCCAGACGTCAGCCCCTCTCCAGGTTCGGGGTCTCCCACACCAGGGTCCAGACAGGGCTTGGAGTATAGTGGGAGGAAGGAGAGGGGAAGCAACGCGCCGAGGTCTAGACCAGACCAGGGGCGCAACAGGGAGGCGAAGAGTGAGAGGTCGTCCCGCCCTGAGCCGGATCCGCCTCCGAGGCGGAATGCCCACCCGGCCCCTGTTATGTGTATGTTGTGCGGTCGGAGTTCGCACCTTTGGGGGGGGGTACTGTCACGCCCTGACTCAGGGGACGCTTATATGTTGAGTCAGGGTGTGTATATTCCTTGTTGTGATGTTCTATGTTGTATTTCTATGTTTAGATCTAGTATGTCTAGATCTATGTTGGCCGGTGTGGTTCCCAATCAGAGGCAGCTGTCGCTCGTTGTCTCTGAATGGGGATCATACTTAGGCAGCCTATTGGCACTAGTGGGTTGTGGGATCATGTTCCGTGTTAGGTATGTTGTTTGTGTATAAAAATATGAACGCAACATGTAACTATTTCTATATATTTCATGACTGGGCAGGGACGCAGCCATGGGTTGGCCTGGGAGGGCATAGTCCCACCCACTGGGGAGCCAGGCCCAGCCAATCAGAATGAGTTTTTCCCCACAAAAGGGCTTTATTACAGACAGAAATACTCCTCAGTTTCATCAGCTGTCTGGTTGACTGGTCTCAGACAATCCTGCAGGTGAAAAAGCTGGATGTGGAGGTCCTGGGATGGCGTGGTTACACAGAGTCTGCGTTTGTGAGGCCGGTTGGACATGCTGCCAAATTCTCTAAAACGACGTTGGAGGTGGCTTATAGTAGAGAAATTAACATTCAATTCTCTGGCAACAGCTCTTGTGGACATTCCTGCAGTCAGCATGCCAATTGCACGCTCCCTCAAAACTTGAGACATCTGTGGCTTTGTGTTGTGTGACAAAACAAGGTGCACCTGTGTAATGATCATGCTGTTTAATCAGCTTCTTGACATGCCACACCTGTCAGGTGGATGGATTATCTTGGCAAAGGAGAAATGCTCACTAACAGGGATGTAAACACATTTGAGGGAATTAAGCTTTTTGTGCGTATGGAACATTTCGGGGATCTTTTATTTCAGCTCATGAAACATGGGACCAACACTTTACATGTTGCGTTTATATTTTTGTTCAGTATAGTTAGCTAGCATTAGCATAGCCATATATCTCGCTAACCAGTTAGAAAGCTGTTAAACAAACGGTACAAATACATTAACAAAACATTTAACGTTAAGCAACATAATTAATTATTTCGATCACATAATTCTAGTAAAACATTGAAGAAAACCAGTCTGATTGCAGGACTTTATGTTACTATGATTTTTCTGATGTCAACATCAACTTTGACCCTGCAACTTAAGCACATGACTGACTATAATTCAATCTTAGTCCATGGTCCAGGATACATTGTAACAGCTAGTAATGATACATCTATGAGTACATTGTAAATAAACCTACATTATAGGTGAATTATTCCACTGTAAATGTTATTGTTTTCCAAATGATCATTGTGTTGATTATGTTGACATGCAGTGATTAGATAATTGATTGTAATTATTTCCTAAAGCCTATCCATTATTGTCAACCTTTGCTCATAGGGACCTATTTATTAATAATTATACAAAATTAAATTATTTCATAATAGCTAGGCCATTGTGCCATTATAAAAGTGTATTGTTATTTTCCACTGTCAGCCACTGGTGTCACATTTCAGGAAGTGTCACTCAGCTGTGTGGGTTTCCACTAGCTTCTATAGCCACAAAGTCCAATTCCACAGCCACAAAGTCAAAATCTGCTACAACATTATTATTTTTGGGGTCTTAATTTAGGGTTAGGGTTAGGCATAAGGTTAGCGCTGTGGTTAAGGTTAGGTTTAAATTGAATTGAAGGAAGCTGTTGGACTTGAATTGCTACATACACCTGCTGCCACATTTTCCCTAGAAGTTGACCTAGCGAGTGACATTTGAAAAGTTACCTTAACTGGATACAAAAAGCTACAAAATGAGGAACATTTCCAAGATGTTTGTGTATCCGCCTTCCAGAGGAAGCGGGCACTTGGTATAGTTGGTATAGAGAAAGCATTGTCTGTCAACTGTGGGGGTGCCCATGCAGCTGGGGATCCAAAGTTCCCTGGTTGAGATGGCCAGAGTTCGAATGGGGCAGAACGTTTCCTATGCTGAGGCAGTGAAGAGAGTAGAGGATAGCTCAAGGGTGAGTGAGTTGACTGGAAGGGCCGAAGTGCGTAGACCTGAAGAGAGAGAGCCAGGGAGGATGACTTTTAGTAAGGTTGGATTTCTTGCATTTATAGCCATGGTGATCAACTGCACTGCACTGATGGAGCAGAAATAATAGAAGATGAAGATAGATGTGGTAGTTGCAGCAGCAGAAACATTTTTGGGTTTGAGAGATTGTAGTGCAGAAGTTCCATCCTCGCAGGCCGATGGCCTGGGGTAGGATCGTTTAGTGGGATGGGGTGATGGGTTTTGGGTGATAGTGTATAGATGCTGGTTAGATGGTAGTGGGACAAAACTGTGCAATCCGCACTCCGACCTGCAAAAGGCAGCAATACGCAACACAGCATCTAGTCTTCCGGAAAGCCACACGAAGAAGTTCGGCGCTGCCTGTCAAACAAGGAGGCAATCCTTCTTCGGTGGATTACATTTTAGAATAACTAAACAGCGACATGGAATCGGAGAAAGTAGTGCAATCAACAGGTGGGTATCCTAAAAAGACAAATGGTGTCTCCATTTAGTCAATCGATACAACTCATCGAACAAAACGTATTAAGAGCAGGTTATCGATAGTTCACAAAAGGTTAACAGTAACAACATCGCTAACGTAAGCTAACTAGCTACATTAGCTAGGCAGTTTAGCTAACTCTGAACCGAATGTGACACGTTTCACTTGCCAGTTTCACTTATAGCTAGTTTACTGTTTCAGACCGAGTCGTTATGCACTGAGTCAAATGTTAGAATAACTTGGGTGATACAGAGCCACACAGTCAGATTAGCTGGCTGGATTTGAATGTTGACACAAACGAACGAATCTGAAAGTGATACAGTAACGAGCTACTCATTGATCTCAATGCAGTAGGTCAGGCAGGCAATGACTCGTTTCTAAACTGGCTGGATTATTTTTTTCTATAAGGGATTTGAACTTAATAAAAATGTATATGCACCACCAACTAAAGAGTCTGTAGCTCACCTGCGTGGTTCACTTCTGGTGTAGTTGTAAAGTTTCAAGCCTAGAATTATGTTGTCAATCATAATGTGACCTTAATTGGCATGTCAGTGTAACTAGTCTATCTATTTAGTTAGCAACAAATATAGTTGCCAATATTGTCTATACAGAGGGACTGCTTTGATATTTGTTTACTGATAAACATGTTAAAGTGGAGGTATGCCTTGTTGCGTCAAGCTTCCTTTATTATCACCACCTCATTGCAGAGACAGGGACTAAAACAATATTAGCCAAAAAGTCCTTGCTAATGAGTTTTGATGTTTGTACTCCCAGGAGAGGATGTCCCTGACCCAGAGGAGGAAGAGAAGAGGCTGGCGGCAGCAGCCCGGGAAGCCAACCATCTATCTGAGCTGAGGCTGGTGCTGTTGGGCTGGAGGTGGCCTGGGAAGAGCCTGACAGGCAACACCATACTGGGCCGCGAGGAGTTCCGCCAGGAGCGGGCGGCAGAATTCTGCGTCAAGCGTCAGACAGAGGTGGAGGGGCGCCAGGTGACGGTAATAGACACGCCGGGCTGGTACTCCACCCAGGCCACACCGCCGGTCTACCAACAGGAGATGGTGCGGGGCGCCTCCATGTGTGGGCCCCCAGGCCCCCATGCTTTCCTGCTGGTCATCCCCGTAGACATGTTTACCGAGGTGGACCGGGCCCGCATCGAGGAGCACCTGGCCCTGTTCGGGGAGCGTGTGTGGAAGCATACCATCTTGGTGTTCACCTGGGCGGAGGTGCTGAGGAACATGTCCATCGAGAGGCACATCAAGCGAGAGGGGAAGGATCTGCAGTGGGTGCTGGAAAAGTGCAAGAGGAGGTACATTGTCATCAGTAACTACATATTTGGGGAGCACCCCCAGCTACGGCAGCTCATGGAGAAGATAGAGAAGGTGGTGGAGGAGGAGGGCATCTATAACCCAGAGGAGGTAGAGGAGAAGAAACCTCTGGGCCAGAATCAGAACCAAACCCAAAACCGGGAGCTTGGGGCAAGGCCCAAAGTGAACTCTGCCATAGGATTGGCCAAAATGGACATGGACCCACCCCACAGTGAGTGACAGCTTTACTGACAACTCAGACATAGTCTGGTACCAGGAAACAGCAGTCTCATAGGCTAAACCTCTCACTGGGTGAAATTCATAATCCTTGCTCTTCACTGCAAAACTAATACTTGCATTACTGTTGTATTATTCCACTTAGGGTAACTGTATTTCAATTACTCATGTAATAGTTATGTACATTGTACCAAGTAGTGTGGAATTAGTCCCACTACTTGGGACTCATCCTCTCCCCTCAACCCTTCCTTACATTTCTTCCTTCATTTCCTTCCCTTTTCCTCTTCCCTCATGTGTGGGATTAGAGAAGAATCCATGACGATTGGCCCGGACAGGGCAATATTCTTCTGTAGTAATATCAACACTTCAGTTAACTAGTCTTTAACAAGATAGTTTCACATATACATGAATACAATGATAGTTATACCAATGATATTACATATACATCTGTACTAATCCTTATCTGTTGTTGTGTGTCCTTTTTCAGATTCAGTTGATGGACTGTGACTGACTGAAGGACAGATGGTGAGCCACCACAGTACTGATTTGAGAGCTCTATGTCCATACATTACCCCAACCTCAGGGCCTGTATTCATAAAGCGTCTGATCTACGATCAGTTTGCCTTTTAGATCATAATGAATGAGACGGGGGTCCCAATCCTAGATCAGCACCACTCCTACTCTAAGATGCTTTATGAATACAGGCCCAGATTATTTTAGACCTTTTAAGACTTAACTATTATTTATATTAAGGTGAGAAAGATTATCTGTAACTGGATGTAGGCTAACATGATCAGGGGTCGCGTTAATGCAGAATTCTGTGTTTTTCACGCAGGAAAATAAAAGATTAAACGCATAAGATGTATATTTTAAATGCAGATCTAAAATGCTTCTTATTGTAATTTATGTTCGGCATCAGACTTATTTTGTGCTTCAGTTGCAATTCTACACTCCGATGATAATTCACGAACGGCATTGTATCAGAAGACAGCACTCTGATTGATGTGTAGCTACATTCTTTCTATGATAAACATTAGAAATATGATGGCCATGCATAGTTTTTGCTAAACGTACCTTGCTTTTTTATTGTAAGCTAATTTACTTGTGGCTGCCAGCCAAATAGCGTTGCACTTCTGTTGTCATATGATGAAAATGAAGCTATTTTCTGCCGAATGTGTTGCACTAATGTATTTTCTGTGAAGGAAAACTATAGTTGCACGCCCCTGATCACTCTATTGAAGCAAAAAAAAAAGACTCTTTACTTTTAATATAAAACGCAGGTGATTTCTGAACTCTAACAAGATCACTGATCCTGTTCTGGCTGTCTGAGACTGTTAAGCCTACTTCCTACTTATGACAGTTCTGATGCAATGTATATATTTGGGGATTTTATCTGATTTTATTTGCACATGAAGTAAAAAAAAAAGAAGGAAAAATGACCAAGAACAAAGAAACAAATCACATATATTTCTACAGGGTGAGGAAAAAACAAACATGACTTTAGAGGTCAAATGTGTACCGATATAGGCCCTGTATATCTACCCTTTGCTTCATAGAAGGGAGGATCATGGGAAAACGACTGTACATGACAAGTCTCTGAGGCTGGGACAGAGACAAGGAAGTCACTTAACCAAATGTGTACAGCACATACTAGATTGCACTACCATATTTTTTACTTTTTTAATAATTATTTGTTAATGTTGTTCAGGAAATTGTTTGTGGAAAGCTACCCCAATTGTGACCAAACAATTTTAGACATATATTTGTGATCATTACACTTTAAGTGTATAGTGTTTTATCAATCACTTGAAGTGCAGATACTGTTTTACTCTACTAGTAGATAATATAAGTATTTTTGTCTGGGTTTTGTTTATGGGTGTGAAATGATAAATGTGCATTTGTATTTGTTATCAGGCTCATGTACAGTTCAAGTCGGAAGTTTACATACACCTTAGCCAATACATTTAAACTCAGTTTTTCACAATTCCTGACATTTAATCCTAGTAAAAATTCCCTGTCTTAGGATCACCACTTTATTTTAAGAATGTGAAATGTCAGAATTATAGTAGAGAGAATGATTTATTTAAGCTTTTATTTCTTTCATCACATTCCCAGTGGGTCAAAAGTTGACACACTCAATTAGTATTTGGTAGCATTGCCTTTAAAAATGGTTTCACTTGGGTCAAACGTTTTGGGTAGCCTTCCACAAGCTTCCCACAATAAGTTGGGTGAATTTTGGTCCATTCCTCCTGACAGAGCTGGTGTAACTGAGTCAGGTTTGTAGGCCTCCTTGTTCGCACACGCTTTTTCAGTTCTGCCCACACATTTTCTATAGGATTGAGGTCAGGGCTTTGTGATGGCCACTCCAATACCTTGACTTTGTTGTCCTTAAGCCATTTTGCCACAACTTTGGAAGAATGCTTGGGGTCATTGTCCATTTGGAAGACCCATTTGCAACCAAGCTTTAACTTCCTGACTGATGTCTTGAGATGTTGTTTCAATATATCCACATCATTTTCCTTCCTCATGATGCCATCTATTTTGTGAAGTGCACCAGTCCCTTCTGAAGCAAAGCACCCCCACAGCATGATGCTGCCACCCCCGTGCTTCACGGTTGGGATGGTGTTCTTCGGCTTGCAAGCAACCCCCTCCAAACATAACCATGGTCATTATGGCCAAACAGTTCTATTTTTGTTTAATCAGACCAGAGGACATTTCTCCAAAAAGTACAATCTTTGTCCCAATGTGCAGTTGCAAATCGTAGTCAGGCTTTTTTATGGCGGTTTTGGAGCAGTGGCTTCTTCCTTGCTGAGTGGCCTTTTCAGGTTATGTCGATATAGGACTTGTTTTGCTGTGGATATAGATACTTTCTATTGAACCTGTTTCCTCTAGCATCTTCACAAGGTCCTTTGCTGTTGTTCTGGGATTGATTTGCACTTTTCGCACAAAAATACGTTAATCTCTAGGAGACAGAACGCGTCTCCTTCCTGACCGGTATGACGGCTGCGTGGTCCCAAGGTGTTTATACTTGCGTACTATTGTTTGTACAGATGAACATGGTGCCTTCAGGCGTTTGGAAATTGCTTCCAAGGATGAACCAGACTTGTGGAGGCTAAACATTTTTTTCTGAGGTCTTGGCTGATTTCTTTTGATTTTCCCATGATGTCAAGCAAAGAGGCACGGAGTTTGAAGGTAGGCCTTGAAATACATCCACAGGTACACCTCCAATTGACTCAAATGATGTCAATTAGCCTATCATAAGCTTCTAAAGCCATGACATAATTTTCTGGAATTTTCCAAGCTGTTTAAAGGCACAGTCAACTTGGTGTATGTAAACTTCTGACCCACTGGAATTGTGATACAGTGAATTATAAGTGAAATAATCTGTCTGTAAACAATTGTTGGAAAAAGTACTTGTGTCATGCACAAAGTAGATGTCCTAACCGACATGCCAAAACTATAGTTTGTTAACAAGAAATTTGTGTAGTGGTTGAAAAACGAGTTTTAATGACTCCAACCTAAGTGTATGTAAACTTCCGACTTCAACTGTATTTGTATGTATCAAACCCTACCTTCTTTGTAAACTGCTGAAAATGTAATTAAAACGCAAATTGGATAATGATAAATCAATAACATATTGCATTTCAATATTATTGTTTTTGGCAGCTATATGCTTCCATAACTCTCTGAGTAAGGTCTCTTAATTATTCAGATTAGTTAGGAATTAAACATGAATTACTAATCTGATGCAGTATTGCAACGTGGCCCATGATGATAGTATTGCAATAGGCTTAAAGAGCAACTGGCCCTAAAAAGCAACTTCTCGTTTTGGAAATGGCCTAGGGGCCATCAATATGAGTCAAACATTTTATATAGTGTGAAAATTGACTACAAAGTGTAAATAGGATAATTTTGGTCAGATAGTCAGTCTCGTCCAAAACGGAGATTTGAATGGTATGTCACGGAATGAAAGTTACCGTAATAGTTTTCTGTGGGTTGTGTTTATTTTATTCCTGCCCACATGCCTACAGCTGGCAGCACCCAAATAATAATCAATTCGGAGTGCAGTTGCATGCAACACCATCATAATGCAAATGGTAAATTTGGTTTGACATTCGATATTCCTGTGGGGCTAGTTAGGGACCATCAGTAAATTACACAATGTACATAGGACAATATTTTAAAAGGTCAATAGCTCTACATTTCAATGACTTAACCTCAAACCAACTATGAATTGTAGAAATGCATATACAAATATTGAAAGCATTTGAGACAACTAAAAGATGTGCAACATGAAAATATTGTCCCATTTACATTGTGTAATTTATTGACGGTCCCTAACTATCCCCAGAGGTAGGCTATCCAAAGTCAAACCAACTTTGCCACTGTGGCACACCAGCCGGCTGAAGCTAATTGGTCAAATAATTTGGCTAACTCTTCCCACCTGCGAACACACGAGACACCCACATCAATCCACAACCAACTCACATTTGAATTCAGTCATGGCCACTTGCATTTCTTAATGAACAAAATCTAAATTGAGGCCAAATCAGGAAGTGCAGTCGCCCTTTAATACTGTGAGGACAGGATGTCTTATTATTATCTTACTATTGTCATCATTATATTATTATGATATACTGTTACTCATATAATTGCTTCCTATTCTGAGAATCAATACTAGCTAGTAGTAGCTACATTCACTAACTAGCATCCAATGCTGGGTATAACACTGACTGTTATCTATGTTGATATTGTATACAAACATATTCATATTGTTGATTTGTATTGGGGTTACATAGTATTCTGTGAGTTACAATTTCATGAATGCACATATGCTGTAAGGGTTCTGAGTCAAGAAAATGATCAGCACAGAAATATCGACTTACCGCTGGTTTAATGATTTATTAAGGGGAGATGTGGTAGGTGTCTTCTCTAGTCAGAGTTGTCTTTTGTTTCCATATATAATGAATGCTGTTTTGTTTGTTTGTGTGAACAAACTGATTTCTATATTTTGTCTATTGCTATAGTAGGCAACTCTA